GAGTTGCAACCAGAGTCACGGAACGGATTAAGTTCGTAACTAGAGGTACCACTGTATTGGTAGCAAGGAAACTGTATGGGGATGACTGCAACAATGAAAAGACTTTGAGTGTCAGATAATGAGACTCTCTGACTGGAAGGCACTTCTCTGGTTATTGGGAAAGTGCATCAAACTTCTACAAGTAGATAGAGAACTGCAAAGAAGCCTAATCCTGATATATTAAACATGCCTCACTTTTCAAGGACATATACAAAAATACAACAACTCAAGATAATGACAGGAAAGTCCTGTTTCCAAGACTAGATTTGGTTCCTTCAAATACTTCATTTCTTTTCAAATACGAGGATGACAATTTCATTTGAAACAACATTTGTAATGATAATAAAAGTCAAGGACAAAAGTATAAATTATGCTGGATTCTCTCTGGAAGGACCAAGATTCATAAATGAATATTATATATAAGAAAGCCCAGAGTCAGATCATTTGAGAACAAAAAAATATAAATTTAGCAGCCATTAGTAGAACTAATAACCGAAGAACAGTTTAAATACTTCAAATGTTTAAATACTTCAAATGTAAAAAGTAATGAGAGTATTCAAAGAAGCATTTCAATGCCTTGACTATTAAGCTTGCTTAGCTTATAAAATAAAAATATACATTTTTAAAAAATCCCTAAATCTTCTCCAAATCTATGTAATGGTGAAATGGTTTTTCTTAATAAATAACAAAGCATTGGTCAGCCTACATTTTATAATATTAATGGCATTTGTTTACCGTAATAATATATTGTGTTTTTCCTATTACATAATTCCTATATTGCACTGGCTATGGTTGTTGCTTCCCTACACCATTTATAGTCGCCTTGACTGAAGCAGTTTATTAATTCATAATTAAATAAACAACCCATTGAATCTGCATTTTACCTCCCTTCTGCCCAGTAATGTTCTGTTCTGTTCTTCTCTCATCAATTTGGCACATGAGATTTCAGATCAGATCTGATATTACTGTGAAAGACCCTACCTGCCCCTACCTGCTCTTATTGACCTCAGTTCTTCAAAAGATAGTTCTAAACTGGCAGAGCATATTGGCGAGAAGAATCATGAAGGAAGTTGGCAAAACAGATTTAGAAGAAGAAACACATTACTGGACTGGTTCAAGCCAATGAGGATTCAGCATGCTCCCTGGGCACAGAATCCTGTCTGTGAGGAAGAAATGGAAAGATGGGATGGAGTTAGAAAGGGGTTTGTGGTTCTGAACTGGAATACATTTTCCTGCACTTATCAGACAGAATATGCTAGGGTTTTTCTCAAGGCACATGCTATAATGAAGTACATTTTGAAATGATCTCAGAATATTTAATGCTATCAGTTGAGGCAATGAGTTGCCATCAACTTTTCATGAATACTTTATCTCAGATCAAAAGAAGAAGAAGAAGAAGAGAGGTCCTGCAGCCATCTG